AAAAAAAAAAAAAAAAAAAAAAAAGTATTATATGCCTTTCAATCTTTAAAAAGAAACACACCATTAAAGCATCATCATGGCTAATTTTTCTCCCCATTAAAGCATCATAAAGATTTTTTATAAAGGTTGCACCAATTGAACATCATGGTGGGCACTCTGCCTAACTCATAAAAGAATCACAAATATAGGAAAGATAGCATAGGATAAAAACAAGCCATACACTTTCCTTTTTCTCTAATAATTAATGAATTTTATATTTTTCTCTCCTTTTGAGAACTCAAATTGAAACTGTGTTGCTTTTTTCTCTGTTTTTGCAGCACAAGAGATTCTCTCCACCAAGTCAAAAAGGAAAAAAAAAGGAATAATATATTATACATAGAATTATATTATGTATGTTATGTATAAGTTTAATTTTATCAATGTATATAAATGTTATTAAGAGCATTCCCAATGTTTTGGGTTCAATCCCAAAAAATTATATGACGCCTAATAAGTAGACCCAGTCTAAAAAAAATTATTCTCCAATGCAAATAAAAGTAGACTGGGTCCTGCTTATGTGGCAGCCAGAAAAAGAGACCCGGTCTATCCTTAAGTCTATTTTAGACCCAAGCAGAGACCTAGTCTCTTTGCATTGTAAAGAGTTTTGTTAATTTTATATAATTTTATCCATGTCATTCAAGACTTGGGTTTATTTACGTGCCACATATATAAGACTAGACCCAATGCATTGTAGAAGAAGATGGAGATAGTAGTATTGCATTATTGATATGGCAATTCTCTTAATTGAATTTGGTATGAATAATTGATTTTAATTGATTTCATGCACCATGCGTTTTATTTAAAACTTGTGTGTATCCCGTACGATGAACGGACAGACTTATTCCTTAAAAAAAAATTTAACTTTATGTAAATGTATTTATTTATATTTAAATCTCATTATTGGTTTTCTAATATGGATTTTCATAATTAATTACTATACAAATAAAAAAACTAATTAATTGACATAATAAAATAAGCAATCCAGAACGCCTGAGCCTACATGGCTGCTTCTGGTGATTCGAAATCCTATGTGGCAAAATTACATGCTTCGTTATTAGGCTTGGGTAAATTTTAATTTAAATCCAAACCAAAAATAATTATGTTCGGATTACCATAAATATGTTGATTATTTATGGTCATGTTACATGTATTAATTGTATTTCAATATCATTCTTTATTATAACTATTGAATTGTATATATATTTTAAATGTTAATAACTTTTTTTATTTTTTATCAGTTTTACATATGTAGTATATCAAATTAATCGTCTTTTGATGAGCTTCGATTTAACATCCATATTGTATGTATAAAAGAAATAAAACTATTTATCAACTACTATATTTATATTTCAAGTAGTTATATGATATAAGTTATAAAAACTAATATAATATAACACATGTAAGTCATAAGTAACACATATCATTCTAAAATATAGAGTAATATATTTTTTTATAAAAAAATAAACTAGATTTTTATAGTTTTCTCATTAATTTTAAAATTTAAGAATAATTTTTTAACAAGCACCCGTGTAATACACGGGTGTTGCACTAGTCAGATAAATAATATGCAAATCCCCTGAATAAATATGATGCATATTAAATAATTAGTAGTAATAAACATGATAATAAATAATTCAGCTATTGTGGGCATTAATAACAATCCAAGAAAATATGAGAACTGACAATATATTCATAAATATTTAACCATATTAAAGATATTATTTTAAAATCAACTTTAGAAAATTTAGAAATAACTCATAATTTTGGTCAAGGCTAAATGTTTTCGACTAATGATGAAATACTAAAATCCAACAAAATATACTATATTATTTTATGTTACTTCTCTATTTCTCATACACTTTTAAGTTTTAATTATATGATGAAAAAAGATTTATTTTTATTTTTTTAAAAAAAAAAAGCATCAAGAAATGTAATATAAATAAATCTTTCAGAAATAACAACAATATTAAATGTAGTTCAAGTATTATTAAGTATAAAATAAGTGCAGTTTAATCGTCATATGTTATTAAGTATTTTGAAAATACTCAGTTATATATGATCCTAAAATTGACATAACGTACTACTTCGGTTCTTAATTCCAATTCTTCAGCTCACTACAATATGAGATGATTTAATTCGGTCCTCTCTCGGTACGAATATTTGAAAAATCTAAAAAATCGCACTAATTATTTTTTCAGTTCGGAAAAAGTAAACCGCTCAACAAATAATCTTTGATTCGGAATGATCTCAATTCAGTTTCTAAAAAAATTCTCTTAAAGCTCATAGTCAGTCCTATTAGTGCTCACATGATTTTTCATGCACCAATCATGTAATCAGAATGGCCCCTTAAACCCAACTATAGGTGGATCAAATCTTTACCATACAACAATATCAAAAATTCTACGGAGTCATCGGATGAATTTCTTAAAGAGTCATCCACTACTTAATGTATTGACTCATGTCCCAAGTATATTTATTATAGAACACATGTCAATACACTATTGGCGAATAAGTATAGATGATTCCATAAATCGAGCTATCCGATAGCTCCATAGCAATACTGACAACAATATTAGTATTTTCCAACGCACTACAAAATAAAATCGGATTGAAATTAATTTGATATAATAAACACATGTAAACAACCAAATATGAAAGGTAGAAAGAAAATAAAAGAAAAATTAATGAAAAAAGGCAAAGGGGGTCCATAGCTTAAAGGCATATATTCTCCCGGCATAACCCCACTTATGTTTCCCGATGTGGGAGTGAGAACACTAACACATACAACACACAAACAACTCACCAATTTATAAACACAATTTTAGAGCTCCCAAATCACTCATAGCCACAACACACACACACACACACACACACACACACGCACACACACACACACACATTACAAGCACACAACTTTCTTATGAAGAAATAATGGCATTGGACAGTAATAAAGAAATGAGTTTGGTGTTATCAAGTGATGCAAAGCCCAGATTGAAATGGACTCAAGAACTGCACCAAAGATTTGTCGATGCCGTTATTCACCTCGGCGGCCCGGAGAGTGAGTTTCGAAACCTTTCTTTTATTTCGATCCACAAAATATTATGTGATTTTACTTACTTACAGTTGAAGTTAATTCCATGCTTGTGATATATGCAGAGGCTACTCCAAAATCCTTGATGAGGGTCATGGGCATTAGTGGGCTCACTTTGTACCACCTCAAGAGCCATTTACAGGCAAATATATATATATATATAAATATATTGTTTTTATTAGATGAAATTAATATCTGTTTTTTTCTTGTTAGTCTCTGTTGGAAGTCCCTTTTTATTTATACAACTCTGTATTCTCTTACAGAAATATAGACTGGGAAAAAATCAACAGTCACAGATTTACCAACACCCTAAAAAGCAAGGTAAAAGTTAAGGAAAATGCTACGGTCCCCCGTTACGGAACTATTCTGTCGGGATTTGTAACCGTTAAGTCGACTATCCCGACATTTACATGATGATCTAACGGTTACAAACCCCGACAGAATGGTTCCGTAACGGGACTGTAGCATCTCCCAAAAGTTAATTAACAGAGTATGTTACATTTATTAAACACATCATAAAAGCATATTTTAATAAAAATTAGGTGTAAGAACAATTTTTTTTTCTATTTTTTTCTCAATGCAGATAATGCAGAAAATAAGACAACTCCATTGACAGACAAGACCCCAGTTGCAGCACAAGAGGACATAAATGAGTAATATTTTTTAGTTATATTAAGCTTGTTAAATTAAATCAACAGTATGATCAAGAAAAGTAAGAAAAAATCACTTAATTATGCTTTTTTTTTCAGAAGTTTGCAGGTAGCTCAAGCTCTGCAGATGCAAATGGACGTGCAAAAGAAACTTCATGAACAAATCGAGGTTTAACAAAAAAAAGAAAAAAAAAAACAGAACAACATTTTCAGTAGTTCAAAAGTAAAAGTCAATAAACTACAAAAACGAATAAAGGATTAACCGTAAAAAATAATGTATTCTCAGGTGCAAAAGCATCTGCAGCTAAGAATCGAAGCGCAAGGAAAGTATCTACATTCTGTCCTGAAAAAGGCACACGACACGCTTTCCGAATACGGTGGTGTTCGCTCGATTGAGGTGGAACAAGTAAAAGCACAACTTTCCCAGTTGGTGTCGATGGTCGACTCGGGATGTTCGAATTCGTCAATTTCAGTGCTGACCGAAAGCGACAGCTCAATGTTGCAAAACCGAAGAGAAAATAAATTATCGATCGGACATCATTATGGTTATTCGGTCGAGACTTCTCTTACATCGTCCGATAGCTCAGAAAGAAATGTTAATCATTCTGAAAAAGATCATAAGCTGAAGCAAAATCGGGTCGTGCTGCCGCTTATGGAGATGCATCCAGCAAAACAAGAAACTAAGAGAAGGAAAAAGTGTGATGAGTTGAAGGGTTTCGACTTGAATTGCAAGTCGATGAACGAATCGAATTCGGGCGCCAAAGGTTTAGATTTGAATTGCAATGGAGTAGAGATGGTTTGTGCCCCTTTTAGTGTGTAAAAGCAATTAGTATTGATATAATAGTTTGGTATGCATAAGTATATAAAATGTAGAAAGTGGTATTTGGTTGTGATGGGTCAATAGAATTCCTATTGGGATTATGTATATTGTTCCTGTGTGGACCATATTGACCTTTCTTGTGTATATGTCCTAATGAAAATTTAAAACACTTGTGTTGTGAATATTCTTGATCTCTCCATAGTAATTACATGGAATAAGGAGAAAAAAAAAAAAAAAAAAAAAAAAA